TTCCCTTTTTATTTGATTCTTAACATCGTACATAATTTCGTCTGTAACATTTCTAATAAAGACAAATTCTCTTCAAACCTATATCATCAATTGTCAAATTTGATTACAATATTATACTCCTTTTTTTCTTTGTTCTGTAAATTCTAACGATGGTTTCTGCTGCTGAACGTAGAGTCGAAAATTTAGAATATAAAAAAAATTTTTATGTTGACGGTCAAAAATTATTGTCGCAGCTGATGCTGAAAACGGCTGATGCTGAAATTCGGATCTATTTTAATATGAATTTTTTAAATTTTTTTTGAGGTATTTTTTCCCGCTTTTTTTTATAGTTGAGTTAGTGTTTAGGGTTAGAATTGATAATTAACAAGTATATGTGAATTTTAGCAGGGCTTATATTTTTAAATCGAGACCCCAAATTTCAGCTTCAGCCATTTTCAGCATCAGCTGCAACAATTATTTTGTGAATTTTGTCAACACGTTGTAGATCATACAAGAAAATCTACAGTAGACTCTCATTTAAAATCAGAAAAACATAGAAATAATATTAATAAAACTGAAAAATTGAAATCAACTCGCCAAACAACTCTTGATACAGCCAATATTAATGTAAATGGACAGGAACTTATTAATATTGCTTTAGTAAATGCATTTACTAAAGCCGATATTCCTCTATACAAAATCGATAAGCTTAAAAGCTTTTTTTTAGAATACTGTAAAAATGGTAAATTATTTCATTTAATATACTGTATTTTATTTAAAAATTAATAAAATATTAATTTATTTAGGTGGCGCCATTGTATGTTCAAATCAACTTCGTATTAAATATTTGCCAAAAGTATTTGATATTGAAGTTTCAAGATTACAAAATCTTGTAAAAGACCAGCGAATTTCTATTACCGTAGATGAAACTACAGATGCATGTAGTAGAGCCATCATCCATATATTATTTAGTTTTAATAACCAAACCAAACTTGCTAAAACAGAATTTATTACCACCATAGATAGTACTTCTATTGCACAATTGGTTTTTAAAACTTTACAATTTTATAGTATTCTATTCGATAATCTTATTTTTTTTATTTCTGATAATACGGCATACATGCTAAAGGCTTTTCAAATTATATCTCCCTTAGTTCCACAATTAAAACATAACCGTTGCTTGGCCTATATTTTAAATTTAGTTAGTGAAACCTGGGTTCATTATAAAAATTTTCAATTTTTAGCTAATATTGCTAAAAATATTAAGGCAACGTTTGTTCAATGTCCAGCACGTAAAAGATGTTGGATTGGGTTTTTAGAATCCAATTTTAATTCTAATTTATTATTAGACGATAATAATAGTACTAATAACCAAATTACTTTACCGCCATTACCCGTTAAAACAAGATGGAACTCATGGTTTCGGTTTATTTTTTGGATTAATAAAAATATTAACCAATTACGTTTGTTTTACCTTGAGGAAGAACGAATTAACAATGAAAGTCAAGCAATTCAAGAATTGGCAGATATTTTTAAAAGTAATACAAATATTTTTATTTTTGAAGTTCTAGCTATGTTTATATCATTTAATGCAATATGGTAAGTATTATCATTATTGTTTTTTTTTTTTAGGTAAATTAATTTGGTTATTAGTACTATTATTATCGTCTAATAATAAATTAGAATTAAAATTGGATTCTAAAAACCCAATCCAACATCTTTTACGTGCTGGACATTGAACAAACGTTGCCTTAATATTTTTAGCAATATTAGCTAAAAATTGAAAATTTTTATAATGAACCCAGGTTTCACTAACTAAATTTAAAATATAGGCCAAGCAACGGTTATGTTTTAATTGTGGAACTAAGGGAGATATAATTTGAAAAGCCTTTAGCATGTATGCCGTATTATCAGAAATAAAAAAAATAAGATTATCGAATAGAATACTATAAAATTGTAAAGTTTTAAAAACCAATTGTGCAATAGAAGTACTATCTATGGTGGTAATAAATTCTGTTTTAGCAAGTTTGGTTTGGTTATTAAAACTAAATAATATATGGATGATGGCTCTACTACATGCATCTGTAGTTTCATCTACGGTAATAGAAATTCGCTGGTCTTTTACAAGATTTTGTAATCTTGAAACTTCAATATCAAATACTTTTGGCAAATATTTAATACGAAGTTGATTTGAACATACAATGGCGCCACCTAAATAAATTAATATTTTATTAATTTTTAAATAAAATACAGTATATTAAATGAAATAATTTACCATTTTTACAGTATTCTAAAAAAAAGCTTTTAAGCTTATCGATTTTGTATAGAGGAATATCGGCTTTAGTAAATGCATTTACTAAAGCAATATTAATAAGTTCCTGTCCATTTACATTAATATTGGCTGTATCAAGAGTTGTTTGGCGAGTTGATTTCAATTTTTCAGTTTTATTAATATTATTTCTATGTTTTTCTGATTTTAAATGAGAGTCTACTGTAGATTTTCTTGTATGATCTACAACGTGTTGACAAAATTCACAAAATAATTGTTGCAGCTGATGCTGAAAATGGCTGAAGCTGAAATTTGGGGTCTCGATTTAAAAATATAAGCCCTGCTAAAATTCACATATACTTGTTAATTATCAATTCTAACCCTAAACACTAACTCAACTATAAAAAAAAGCGGGAAAAAATACCTCAAAAAAAATTTAAAAAATTCATATTAAAATAGATCCGAATTTCAGCATCAGCCGTTTTCAGCATCAGCTGCGACAATAATTTTTGACCGTCAACATAAAAATTTTTTTTATATTCTAAATTTTCGACTCTACGTTCAGCAGCAGAAACCATCGTTAGAATTTACAGAACAAAGAAAAAAAGGAGTATAATATTGTAATCAAATTTGACAATTGATGATATAGGTTTGAAGAGAATTTGTCTTTATTAGAAATGTTACAGACGAAATTATGTACGATGTTAAGAATCAAATAAAAAGGGAA